ATAGTATGCACTAACAATTCTATAGAATGGCGCTTCTTGTTGTTGAGTAACTATAAATAATACTGCCTAGCGATACCAAATCTTACCGTTCATCAGCGTTCTGAAAGTGGTTTCTGAATAGGTATTGTGGCTTGCATTTGTGGCTTGTAGTATTGGAACGCTGAAATGGCAACTGACACCCACTTGACTGAGCAACGGCTATTACTAGCTAGGTGGTGATGGGAGTAAAAATAGGTGAAATAGTCTGCACGCCATGGTCTTGGACCTTTCAACAACGGAGGGAGTTCTAATCGCTCGGATATTCTGGTGCTTGTATCTTAGGCGGGGACCTGGCTCTAGCTTCTCGGCGAGAGCAACAATAGCTGAACCATGCCGTGGATCACACACCTGTATGCTCGAGCGGGACGGCGATTGGAGTGGCAATGTTCCCCAAACGGGCCGGACAGTGGCAAACGCGAAACACCTTCACTTGGCGATGTGATGTGATGATGCAGGGGGAGTCTATACTTAGGCTGATTAGGCAGCGGTTTGTCCGGGTTGTGTGTCGGGTCCGACAAGGTGCAGCGCACGTGACCTCGCGACTTGCAGCTGCTGCCCCGCACTAAGAGCGCGACGCATTTGTTTACTCTGGCGCGAGCTGTTTACTTTGGGCAGAAACCACCGAAAAACCCGCCCCACGTTTTGGGTCTGTTGGTGGTTTGCCGGTTTTTCAGCAAGCAAACACTGGAAAACCCCGCACAAGAACTGTGAAACCGCCCAGGACAAGCAATCACCCTGTTTAGCTTCAATAGCAACCGGAACTCTGCATACGGCACCGCACTGCGAGTGGAGGGTCAGGTCACGACTGCGTCAGATGAAGAGCTGTGAGAGGTCGAGACCTGTCGACAGTTGGTGGGGCGGACTGGGCTGTGCCTCCTTCAGATACGGGGCGATTGAGGGCGGCCAGGGGTTTGCGATGTGAGGTAAGGAAGCTGAATGCCTTTTCACCTTGGTGTTGTGTCATCTTTGGCCGTTGATTGGAAGACTCGGTCAGGTGAGGGGGTTTCCATCTCAGGCAGTCCAGCTCGGCCGGTCGGGCGCTTACAGGTCCAGGATCGGATAGTCAAACGTAAACATTGGATCGCTCGGGGGCTAGCTCACCTGGATGTCAAGCAAATGCGCATCAATCGGTGCTGACGGCGTTGTTGCATTGGGGGAGACCAGGGCGAGGATCCCGAGGCTGGGGAGCATGAGGGGATGTCATCATCCTGATACTCAATTCTTGAGGTCAGGTGTTCGGTGGCCATCTAGCTACTGGCCTACTCCTATGTAGGCGATGCTAGTAATACCTTACCTGCCTAGCTTGGTAATTCTGGGCAGGTAAACGATCTGCCTTGTTCGTGTTTGGAGGCTCGGCTACGGAAACGGATAGCAATGACATCAATGGGTGTGTGGACTGACACAGGCCGATCGGGCGAGTGAGTACCCCATCGGCGATGGGATATCGATGAGACCAAGTTTGACGTGATCTGCGAGGTGGCCTTGCGAACTAGTGTATCGAAGATGAACACCTGGAACAAGATTGATGAAATGCCGAGTTCGAATGGGAAATTTTAATGGGACTTGCCTTGATCTACGAACCGCGAAAATCTCTCTTCCATGCCTCAGCATGGACTTTGGCACGAGGGGCAACCTTGTACGAATCGAGGAGGTAGTCGCATAATTCGGGTCTTGGGTTAGTTGTCTCACTGCTTGTGCTAGATCGTTCTTCAACAGAATTGGTCGATCAACCCCATTGGAGGAGGCAAACTGCTGGGCGTTGATCTGGGGTGGCAACCGCGGGAGAGCATCGTAGCAAGAGAACACAGTGTGTCTTGGATCTGAATTGGCCCGATATAGGTGTGAAATATTTCCATATGGCAATGATACTGCGACTAATTGCGATTCGTCTCAATGGCGCGCCGTTGTTGGTGATAGACACGCAGCCACTAGCAAATAGCCTAGCTTGTTGTGACAGGGACGAACCGCCGGTCGGGCAGCAGGAGCTGAGCTGCGGCGCTTCGAGATGATTCGGATCGCTCACTGCATGATGCAAGAAGGCCTAGCTCACCTTGGCTTGGTAATGGAGGCTCATTGAGCGCATGCCGTTGGTCAGTGCCACTCAATGGACACCACACCAGCCACGGTGCTAGTTTGCATTTAGGCGAGGCCTCAGATCTAGGCTCGACTGAGGATTCGACTAGGCTGCTCTAGCTTCGGTATCTGGAACAAATTGGGCCATTTGGCACAAGGCATTAGCGAGACGGGGAGAAGAGTAATACAGAAATGGGGCTTTTATTCAAGATTCTGGTGACGCGCGTGACGGCATGCCATGGAGATTTTTTTAAGACGGTGCGCCTCGCTAGACAATAGACAATGCCCCCCATACTGGGTCGGCTGGCAATTTTTAGCATTTCAGTCGATTTTTTTCGCCGTCGCAATTTTCTTTGTTTGATTCAATTGGCGTTGCTAGCTGGCTAAAATGCGAAAGTAAATAAAAGACAAGGACCCAAGGCGACCAGGGAGCACTAGCACATGCATGCACGCATGCACCTACATATGTACGTACATAATAGATGGATATCTTCGGTGAGTGTTACATGCATGATGAGTGCGTTTCCGTGTGGACAGATCGAGACGCACCTACATACGGCGCAGGAGTGAAATCCACTGACGCAATGCCAATCACCCGAGGAAACACAGTTGATTCGTCGCCCAAGGGATAGGCCACACATGTCTCACGAAGGACCCTGGCACCAGCCTTGTGTCCACACTTCTCGAGTTGTGCCTGGCACCGTGCATTGTCTTCCGTGACAGTGTTTTAGAAGTCTTTTCCCGCGGCTTGGGGCAAAAGGAGTTCCTTCATCAAGGGAGAGCCAGCCCCATTCAGTCATTTCGGCCATTATTACGGGGCGAGGGAGGGAGGCAAAATGGCAATCGGCAGGATGGCTCAGTCACAAAGAATTAAAGATGACGGACGGGGATGGGCGTAGCAGGGAGGGCCTTGATTCCTTTGTTGGCGGAGACGCATAGCTTCCTCCTCAGCTCTGACGAACCCATGGCCCCTTGCCAAATTGGGGATGACAGTAGGCTCGAAAGGGCACAGGTTCACTGTCGAGGTACTTTGGGGGAGAAGAGTCAGAGGCGGGACGACGACGACTTGTATCGCGTATTTGCTTTGTATGGGCAAGAGAAGGCGGATTTGCTTCGTTGCTGGGTTGACTGGAGGCTAATGTACGAGATATTACATGTACAGCGCTGCACTATGTGACGGATCAAATAGGCTACTTGTTGTTTCCAATGCAGTACTGACCTGTCACACACAGACTGGTTGCCGGTCGTACATTAATTATGTGCAGCTCTAGCCATCTTATTAACATGCTCACAGCACATGCCTGGGTGGGAATGGATACTAATAAGCCTGCGATACCTGTAGGCAGGCAACGTGCGTGCTCCGTAGTGGTGGTATAGCCTCCCGTCATCAATGCAAATATAGGTGACCCAGCAACGGGGAGAGAAAAAAGCAGCCGACTCTCGTAAAGGACGAGACAGCCTCAAATTTTGCATCGACACTGGGGTCATGGGTGATGCTCCATGCGCAAGTTGAATGAAACGCCGTAGGGTCACCCAGCATCTCATCAGGGACGGATGAATCTATGCGTGCACGGAGACCTGTTTGGTGTGTTCACCGCTTCTTGCCCGAGATGATGATGTAACTCATGGTAAGGCTGTCAGGGCACTCAGTAATTACCTGCTGCACTGGCTGCACTGGCAATGTCGGGGGATCCACTGGCTAAGCGCTGTGCAAGGGGCGCCATCCACTGAGCAACGCCCTTGAAGGCCCTTGAAGGCGCCAATGAGTAGCGAGGTCGGCAGCCAGACCAAGGTGAGACAGTGGGGAGAGGGCATGCTCGGGCTTGGCTGCTGTCACCCCAGTCCCTACCACCTCCAGTCGCCCATAACAACCTCTGCTGGGATCGCCGAGGGAAGAAAGGGAATCCACCCTGCTCCAGCGACCAGCTCAATCTGGGTACATTTCATCAGCTGGCAACCAGACCTAGCGACCCCACTGTGTGGCCCTGCTTCTGCACCGACACCCAGACACCCAGCCCAGACACCCAAGTGCCTGTCTCTTCCATGGGTGGTGCTGCTGCTGCTGCGATACGGTTGCTGCGTTGTACCGTCACCCGTACCGTCCCGCCGTCGTCGCTGTGCTGCGCTGCGTTGCTGTGGTGTGTGGTCCTTGCGGACGACTCCATTCAAAAGGCGTTTGCTCCCCATCCATTCTGCTACCCCCCTCCCTTAGCATCCGCACTCTCGTTTGACGGGACAAAGGCAAGGTAAGGTCAGTTGCTCTCGAGAGGTCGTTCGCTTTGTTGTGTTTGGACAATTGAAAAGCGACTCGACTTACTCGGCCGGGAGGAGCGCACCTGTTGCTTTCGTCTCAACCCGTAAATAGCACGCTGCCCTGCTTGGGCCCGACCCGTGAATAGAGCTCAGCTCAAGCTTTCTCCTCAGACCTGCACGGCCCACCAACCCGACAAAACGGAAAGTCGAAGCTAAATATCACAGTCGACACTTCCTTTCCTCTCCGGACGAACTCGAGACCAGACGACGACCACGCATTCTTTTACGTCAGATGTCCTCGATACGATTATAACCAGCAACCTCTTCGGCCCTCGACCCCTGCTGTAAGGCTCACCCTACGACAATTTTTCTTGCCCTCGTCCTTCAGGTTGGCAAAGGGCAGCACAGGCAAGGACTAGAAGAGTTCAGTTCATCGTAGGGGAATTGGGACAACCGGCCTTATTCTTGACTGTGACTGGCGGCCAATATTCATCTTACCTACTTCCATCTTAAGTTCATGGTATAGACAAGTAGTGGCATCTTCAACTCTGCTCGCCTCGACCTTCGATCGATCCGAGCTACAAGAATTGGTATCTGTCGAATATTCCAATTTTATTTACACTCTTCGTGCCATAATGGAAGCCTCTTCACCATTGGCGGCGCTGCATCGCCCGATCCCTGTTCCTTCGTGGGGTGGTCAGGACATCTTCCGTTCGCACACGCACTCGCACTTTGCTGCAGCCTCGTCAAGCTCCATGAGTCTGCGGGAACAGCTGCACAAGAATCCTGCCGATTACTTCAATGCCAAGGATCTACGCGGTTCGTCGCCTGCTGCTAGCCTCGCCGCAGATCTGTCACAAAACTTCAGGCTAGATAATGAAGCTAGGTACGTCCTTCGAAACATGTCAGCCAATTTTTCTTGCGACAATGCTAACTTTGTCGTCCCCATGCAGTCCTCATTTCCCAACTCCTCGAAGGGCCCTGTTCACAGCCAATGTGATGGGCGGCCTGGAGTCTCGTGGTATGTCATTAATGATTTCAACGAGGCTGTAATTGTTCGAAGCTAACCTCGTACTGCTCAGCCTTCTCGACCACGCCTCCTCTGCCCCCTTCGTCGCCCGCACACCTCACCGAGATCATGGAAGTCTCTCCTCTGCCTCACAAGGTGCCCTTTGCTTTGCAGAAGGCCATCTCATCACCTACGCCCAACTACACCCCGTCGGAGACTGATGTAGACGAGGAAATGATGCTGGATTCACCGGCTCCCATTGCCCGAAAGTCATCGTCAGAGGGTATCCGACTCGGTATGGCTGAGTAAGTATATCGGAGAGACTACCAAGGCGTCATTTCTGCTCTTTTGCTTACAAGCATCCCAGGCGTAAGATCTCCATGCCTCGTCGTCCCTCGATGTCGCGCATGAAGAACTTCACTACCAGTGCTCTCCCTCGCCCCAATGCTGATGGCCAACTCCCAGCTTTCGTCTTTGGTGGAAACTCTCCATGGAGCCACTCAAGCTCAACCCTGTCTTTGGGTGAGTGCTTTGACTCACCATCACCGCCACAAGCTCAAGAGAAGCGACCGCACTCGGCGAACAGCCCGTGCGCTCCAATCCCCCTGGGCATTCGCTCGCGTGCACACCTCACTGGCCTCGGTGTCTTTCGCCATGCCTCCCCTTCAAATTGTCATTCACGACGTCAGTCAAACCCCTTTTTGCGAAACCGGAAACAGGTCCGGCGATCATTGAGCATGTTTGAGCACCCTGCCGACGTGATGAAGTCAAAGTCTGATGACGAGGAGACTTCCCCAACCACACTGCAAGCCGTTATGGATATCGAGGAAGCACATGAGCCCGTCCTTCCCCACTTTCTGCCTGACGACCCTACAGATACCATTCCTAGAATCACTAAGGAGACTCTGTTGCAAGTTTTGGATGGCAAGTACGCAGAGCACTTTGACCAGAAGATGATCATCGATTGCCGTTTCGAATACGAGTATGAGGGTGGCCACATTGATGGTGCTGTCAACCATAATGACAAGGATCTTTTGGCTACTCAGCTCTTCAAAACCCCAATGAACGGTAGATCCCTTCTTGTCTTTCATTGCGAGTACTCTGCTCACCGTGCTCCTCTGATGGCCCGCCACATCCGGGCTGAGGACCGAACTGCGAATGCTGAGTTTTACCCCAAGCTTACATACCCCGAAGTATATATTCTTGATGGAGGTTACAGCGCCTTCTTCGAAGGGTTTAGGGGTCGTTGCTATCCTCCTGAATACGTTGAGATGTCCGACGAGAAGCATCAGCGCACATGTGAACGCGAAATGGGCCGGCTTAAGGCCCGTAAAGGCTTCAGCCGTGCCCAGACTTTTGCTTTTGGCCAAAGGGAACATTGCGTTGACGAGTCACCAACAGCTCCTGGCAGGCCCAATTCTCGGAGCACGCACCTCAGTATCATTGGCCAGTCACCGATCCTCGGCGATCGTTCATCGCATACACGTCGGATGGCTTCATATTAATGACTGTTATGAGACACTCATCATTCCCACCCCATGTTACCATGACACACGATCATGTGGGTGGACTAACGTCTGAATGATTTATCAGAATCCCATATGCCTCGAGCAACATGAGCTCGAGGCTCTAAGGATATTTGATGTTACCCAATAATGTTTACCATACAACACATCATCCCCATGTTTTAAACGCAACGCCGCTAGGAGCAAAGCTACCTATGATGCTTCTTCGGCTTACTGACCGGACTCTCCTCTGGTCAACACTAATCAAGCCTAATACTGGTCTGGTTTAGTCTGTACACAACTCCTCCTGGATTGAGAGATGTTGTTATCTCGAAGGCTGTCAGCAACATATATCATATTAATGATGACCGCCTCGAACAAGCTCTTGGGACTGCTATCCCATGATACATACACACTATAACATCCGCCACCGGATACTCCCCAACACATGCATATATTGTGTTTATACCCCATCCATGACGGATCGTTTTTCCTTTTCCTTACTTTTCCTTATTTTCTCTTTGTTCATACTTTCATCGGGTGGAAAATACCCCTTCTCGGCTTGCCTATCATGCGCCGATGTCTTGTAGATGGTGTGGTCGTGTTTCTGTTTGTAGGAGTAGCTGCAGTTGTTGTGCACTCGGATTGCCTGGCTTCCAGATTGCTAGTTGTACATTTGGCACGTCACGTTTGGGAAATCCCCGACCTGACCATACACTATCCGAAGAGAAAACAAAAGAAAGAACCAAGACAAATAAAAAAAAGTTAAAATTCTAAAATTCCAGGATATCTCTTTTCTATGATGCTTACGATCTCGAAACTTGCTCCAGGGACCCCAAAGGCAGTTGGCTGGATATATTATTCAACTAGTACTCGTCATCTAATTCGACGATAATGCTAGATCGCTATCTAATACTGGTTGTGCGAGGCTTTCCCTATTCTCTGCACCGCTTTTGAATTGCTAAACTGAAAATCCCATGACTTGATCCCATTTGATTGTTTGATTGATGCCCATGTATTGCTGATTTAACGCAACGCTGCTATTCCCAATCTGTCTTGTCTTGTTCACTCTTCTAATGTGAAATCCCATTCCTTAAACGCTGCTCGGAACGCCTCGACGTCTGCCGTCTCCTCCTCAACACTCTGCTCGCAATCCTGCCAGATGACTCTGTCTTCGAGGTCCATGAGCTTCGAGAGAACGCGCCTCGGGAACTGGAGATCGAAGCGCTGGTCGGAAGGGAGCGGCATGACGAGGGTCTTGCCCTTAATCTTGTCCTCGCCATTGTCGGCCCACAGCCAGACGCGGAAGAAGCCGTCGTAGTTGGGCTCCTCCTCGAGGGTCAGCTCCTTGGAGGAGAAGGCGGGGAGCTCCTGGTTCTCTGCCTCGACCTTGAAGGCTGCCTCGACCAGGCCCTTCTGGATCAGGGTCGCGGATATCGGTAGGAGCTGCCAGTGTAGGTGGATGTTGCGGCCGCGGCTGATTTCCCAGGTGACCACCCCGAGCTCGTGGTTGGATTTTGATGATACCATGGCCTGGATGGACTCGCGGAAGCGGGTCATCTCGTTGTACGTCTTGACAGCATCGCTTGAGGGATCTTTGACGTCGCCGATGCTGGGAATGGTTGGAGCATGAGGCAAGGGGATGATGAGGAGGTGGCCCGGGAAATTGAGACCCTGATCAGCAAAGGTCTTGCATGTAGGAAGAGGTCCCTTTGCAATTGTGATGTAGGCATCGTTGCCAATGGATGAGCACATGTGTGTTGCCAAATTGGGGTTTGAAAGGCAGAAGAAGCACCTGTCTGGTCCTGGCGGGGGAGAGGTGCGGCGCCTCTTGTTTCTTCGCCCGTGATGACCACCGTCATTGTGACCACGGTCAAAGCGGTTGTAGCTATCATTGTCTCCGCCTCGCTTCTTCGGTTTCTCTATGAATGGAGAGGCGGTGATGCCGGGAGGGAGTGAAGTGTCGGCCTTGTTTAGCGTAAAGGCATACAAAGCTTTGGCCTTCACTTCGTTTCCAAACGGAGCCATTGAAATGAACCTCGTCACTGCCTTAGTGTCGGATTCTTTCTCTGAAGGATGTAGAAATGGCTCCCTCTCGTAAAAGAACGCACTGGGGGAGGCTGTGAGGTGGTACCGCGGTTTTAGAGCAGCGCATAGCTCTGCGATTGACTCCGTGCTTGCAATAGCTGCTTGCTGGGCGGGTTCGAGGGTCGTCTTCGACCCCTTCCAAATATTGGAAGGCCATATGGAAGTCAATAGGATATCGGCGCTGTTTGCGCCGCGCAGGCTCTTGGCATCGTCTACAGTGTGGAATGGAAGGTGTTGTTCCTTCGACTGGCCGCCTACTAGGTTGGGGTCAAGCTGGCCCCCGAGAGCTGCAATTCGGATACCATCCGAGGTCTTCGTAACACTCCGCTTCCCCAGAAAGTGTAGGTTGGTGCATATTTCCTCGTTGGCTTCTATCTTCTCTGCAATTCGTTGAGGAAGGGGATGGGCCCCTATGGTGAAGTACGTCGGTAGGGGGACCTGCAAGGTTTCGTTGATCAATGAGTCCAAAGTCGACTCGTCGGTTTCAGGTGTGAAGACATCTCCGGTCAAGATAGCCAAAGTGAAATTGTTCTTCGCGTGGAGTGTCGCGAGCTTCTGCAATGCCGGTTCCAGGGCGCCGTTGAGGCTGCCTAGTACTATTCTGCGATTGCACATGGTTAGCTATCTTTGCTAATCAAAGGTCCGCTCAAAGGAGCCAATGTATTCTTACATTTTGGGAGCAGCCATTTGGCCTCTGTTTGAATGTGGAAGTATAGCGAGGCCTGCGTAGAGGGAGGTGCGCGAGCGAATGAATGTATGGGGATGTGTTGTGTAAGACTTTCTAGATCGGGAGTTGCATCATGAGAGAAGAAGATGAAGATAAGAGAATGCGATGAGTTGTTGATTGGCGTGTTCTCTGAGATAAGTGGGTCTAGAGCTTTATCAGTTTCGCCGACTATCTGCCGACCAAAAAAGTTGGAAATTTTGGCGGGGACTTGAAGCGACATTGGAATTTTGTGAAGCCTCTCGTTCATCAGTAGCCATTTCTGCACGAACGAGTGCAAACCGCCACGATGCCGTCAAAAGTCACCGGACGCATCGTGAAGGCGAGGAAGCATGCTTCTACCCCCCACAATAAGAATCACAGGTGGGAAACCTTCACCGCAAAGATCGCCAAGTTCAATTCTTTGCAGCCTCTTCGAAAAGTTCGACGACACGATCTCGACACCGAAGACTTTGCCTCGGCGACCTCATACTTCGCCAATGGAATGCAAAGATGGAACGAACTCAATGTGTCGAAAGTTTTTATCGATTTCAAGCGGCAGGCGCTCCCGTTGTGCGAGAGTCTGGCCCAGATCTTGCACTTCGAGGACCGTATTATGGAATTGCTCGCGGAGCACATCTCGATACAGGACAAAGAATCACTTGAGCCATTATTGGATCTTTTGACGGCATTCGCTCATGATCTGGGGGCGAGATTCGAGAAACACTACGCCCAAAGTCTTTCACTTATCGTAGCAGTTGCTGGAAGGCCGCAGGATGTCGAGGTCATTGAGTGGACATTTGGAGCTCTTGCATTCTTGTTCAAGTACCTTTCGAAGCTCATCGTTCCAAACATACAACCGACGTTCGATATAATAGCACCGTTGTTGGGAAGATCCAAGCACCCTCCTCATATTGCACGGTTTGCTGCCGAAGCTTTGAGCTTCTTAGTAAAGAAGGCTGGTGCCCCGTCGCACCGCGAGGCCGCGTTGCCAAAGTTTGTCGACCATGTCAAACTGGATCTGTTCAAGACGGTCGAAGATCGGCAGTACACACTGTACAAAGATGGTATCATGACAATGTTTGCCGAGGCGATCAAGGGCGCCGAGCATTCTATCCATACAGCAGCCCCTGCGATTGTTACTCAGCTTATTGATGCCATCCCTGAGATCCTCGATAATCACGAGGACCGCACTTCGGCTTCTACACAAGAGATTTGGACGGATGTTGTCTGTGGTGTACTGACCAGCGCCATCCACCACTCCACCCCGGACACATTTGGAGAGTTGGCTGATGCAACACTCGACAAGATTATCTCTTATGCAGGAGCTCAAAACTCCACTGGGAAGTGGTGGAGATTTATTCCTTTCCTCAGGGTTGTCGGTGTCCTCGGAGGTGTTCGAAAAGGTTCTAGGATCACCAATTGGCCAAAAATTATAAGCACAATCACCCAAATGCTTGATAAGATCGCCAAGGAACGGGAAGAATCATATCCCAACGATCAGGAAGATATTTGGAAGCACTTAATGGTCCCTATAGTCATCGTTTGGCACCATATTCCTATCGATGCTCTCCTAGCACATCACGGCGCATTGGTTCAATCGTTGACCAAGGGTTCCTTGATGGGGTGGTTCATCCCATTCTGTTCTTATGCATGCGAACTCGATCCTAGCAGGTTCAGCAACCTACTCAGAAGCGAATTCCAGAAGTAAGTTTTCTTATGGATGTGGCTACTGCTGATTGAAATGTTAACGTTGGATAGGTTCATTCTCACACATTGGTCCCAGAGGGAAAATGAAGAAATGCTCTGTGTGCTTCTCCCAATGATGATTCAGAAGCAAGCATTCCCTTCCCCGGGAGAACGTGAAAGCTGTAGGCTTCCACAGGCATGGCAAGATCAAATCGTCTCTAAATTTGAGAACCTGGAGATTTCTCCCTTTCCGGAGAGAGGACCATACAACAAGGACCCTCAGGTTTGGAGAGATCGTTGTTTGCCCAAGTATTCTGCTCTTCTCCAATTGCTTGACTTGACAACAGTTCACCCATCCACCAATGCCAGAATTTCCGAGTTGCTCCTCAGGAAGCTAAAGCTGGCTCTCCGACCTTCTTCTACTCTTGCCTCGGATGAAGTCCACTTCATCGTGAGTCAAGGGTTTCACGCATACCTCCGAATGAGCAAGGTGGGCTCGTCAATTGATCCTGGCTTACGTCCTTTGCTGCGAGCTGCTGTCCCTCGTTTTGCTAGATCTGTTGGTTTCCTTGAGGCCTACATGGCGTACGTTGAATACCTGCAGGAGACTGGAGATTCCTCGGACAACGAGGCCTCTTCCAGCGAAGGTTCGGATTCCAACCAAGACCCCGTCCTCACCTCTCTGGTTGAGAACCTTAGCTCACCAAGCCATGACATTCGCTTGGTGTCTCTCAAGCTCCTGAAACACCTGGGCGAGCTTGGAAGCGATGAGATTCTGGACATCATGATTGAGATAGAGCAGTTGCCCTTGGGGTTGGAGCACACCAGGACAATTTCCATGCTACTGCGCAAGCTTGGACAGGGCTACTCTTCAGTGGGCAAAGACAGCTGGCTCTTACAGGGGATACCAAACTTCACTTTTGGTATGCTGACAGTGAAGCTATCCCCCGTCTGGGACGATGCTACGGAGACATTGAAGCAGATTTCCCAGACCAAGGCTGGAGAGGAGGTCGTACGTGCCATCGCTTTTCAATGGCTAGATGTCCCGTCGCCAAAATGGACCCCGCCTTCAAATGACAACCACCTGAGCAATCGCCGCATTATCACCGACTTTGATTGTACACACCTCCAGAATCTGAATCGTCGGGCAATGAGTCTTCATGCTACCATCTTCAACCCGCAAGATCGTATGTTGCAGCAGTTTGATGAACGGCAAAGCACCTCGGATTTGACCCTTGAAAATGCACGATCACGAAGTTTGAAGGTTTTCAACGCCATCCCTTCCCTTGCCGAGAGACGATCCCGACTGATAGTCCCTCACTTTCTTTCATGGGCCTATGAGGATGCAGACCCCACAGCCATTGAAGACAGCGAAGAAGCGCAGCACTCATTTTGGTCTCTGGCAGACAGGAAAGCATTGCTTGGTGTCTTCTCCCAGTTTCTCAACCCCAAGTCACTGTTCCAACATGAGAAGGTTTATCTCGCTCTCTTGCAGTTGATGGAAAATGGAGACGCAGAGGTGCAGAAGATGACCTTGAAAGCTATCCTCAGCTGGAAGCAGGAGGGCATAAAGGCATACCAAGAGAACCTTGAGTTTCTCCTTGATGATGCTCGATTCAAAAACGAGCTCACAGTTTTTCTCCAGGGCGAGGATATCATCAAGCCAGAGCATCGTAGTGAGTTGATGCCTGTCCTTCTGCGCCTTCTCTACGGTCGAACCATCTCGAAGAAGGGTGCGGCTAGCGGTAAGCATGGTCTTCAGGCAACACGTCTGGCTGTGTTACGAAACCTCTCTGTGAAGGACATGGGTGATTTCTTAGATATCGCAGCCGGAAAGCTTGGGGCTGTCAAAGTTTTAGACCCTAAAAAGTCAAGATCCAAACTCTTCGAAACGGCTGTTATCCATCCAAGGAAGCAAGTCGGTTTCCTCAACATGGCATCTTCCTTAATTTCCGAGCTGGGGACCAATGTCTCCCACTACATGGAAGCTATCCTCAATGCCGTTTTGTACTGCGTTATCTTCTCGTCTAGACAACTCCATGGCGCTTCTTTGGATGTTGAAGATGACGTGGAAGCAAAGGAAGATGTGGCCAGCACTCAGTCTCTCCTGAGAATAACAAGGTCTACAGGTTTAAAGTGCCTGAACCTACTCTTCCAAAACGCTCAGGATTTCCAGTGGTCTGTCTATCACGATATCATCATTGAGGAGATCATTGCTCCTCGACTTGAGAATATGCCAGCTGAGACGACACAAGGCGTCTCTGGCGTTTTGCAGCTACTGTCGACTTGGACTGTACTTCCAAAGGTGGCGCTCTTCCTTGGTCCGCATGGCGATTCCGTTGCAAATGGTGTCCTTCCTCAAGTTATTGCTTGCCTTGGAGTCGAGAAGGCTAAAGACGAGGTCAGGACATTCATTCTCGGCATGATTCGCAATCTGGTCCGGCTCTCCCTGCTCCCCGCCCAGGAGTCTGAGTTCAATGAGTTGATCAAGTCCGAGTTGATTGACGCAAATTCCAATCAAATCTTGCCCATCATCACCCAAATATTAGAGGCCCCCACAACAAGTACCGAGCTTCTTGATGCCTGCGTGGAGACAATGTTGTCATTGGCCCAGGTTCTTCAGGAATCCAGTGCTGTTCCCCCAGTTCTCCGGATTGCATCCTTCCTCCTCAAACAACCTCCTCGAAGAGTGAGCCCTAGGACCAAGGGAAGGGTACTTCTGGTTGTGGAAAACTTCATCGCCCTCATCGAACCGGGCCAACATCCTGATCTTTGCGATGAAATGTACGGCACCTTGTCCTCGCTATTCGGCTACTTCAAGGATAGAGAGAACCGGCAAGCGCTCTGCCGTGTCATCACGCTGTTGTCAGACGGAGACGATGGTAAACTCGCCGTTGCCAAGATATGCACTGATCTCAACGCTTTCAAAGAAGGACGGATCGATGAGCCAGATTACGACCGAAGACTGTCTGGGTTTAACGCCATTGCAAAGGATAGGGAGACTTCTTTTACACCCCAACAATGGCTGCCACTGTTGCACAATGCCATCTTCTTCATTCAGATGGATGAAGAGTTTGGTCTCCTATCAACGAACTCTGCAGATGTTTTGCGTCGTATGGTTCATGAGGCACAGAATACAAGATCCGAGTCTGCCCGATCTAAGATGCAGGAATACATGAACGGGATTCTGATGCCAGCTATTTACGCTGGGGCTAGAGAATCATCCGAGACCGTCCGCCGCGAGTATCTTCGTGTTCTCGGCTTCATTTTGTCCGCCATGCCTGGCTGGGGCCCA